AGCACGTACAGAGTGGCAGATGTTGTTATGTCATGATCCATAAGTGAGCCTGACGAGGTACTCTCAATTGGTATGGATGATGTTGCTTGTTGAACACTGAATATTTCACTTGCCATTTCATCTTGTCCAACAAAGTCAAACAAGACCTTAAAAAAAAGGTAGTGCAATTTCTGTCACTTGAAAATAAATAATATACATGCTCTGAATGAACACATTACCTGAATTGGGTCAGACACATTGAAAGTTCTCTTTCTGATAAATCCATTCGGATATTTGAACTTCAACAGCAGTCCACTTGACGGTTCTTTATATTGTGCAAGTCGTTGCTGGCGTTCTTCAATTGCCTAAAACATGAACACTAAAACCTGTAGGTAATCCATAAACCACTATCATCCTAACAATGTAATAGTTCTTACTTTTATGCGTCTTTCCTCCCAGGCCTTGTAACACTGTCTTCTCCTTTCCTGGTAGAAAATAAAATGTGAGCAACAACAACAACAACAACAACAACAAATGTTGATAACAAAAAATGTTAAGTTACATTTTCTTGGTCTGCTAACAAAGACTCCTCGTACTCTTTGTCTTGCTGGGACCGCAGAGATCGCCAATCTAGAAGTGTCTATTGTGAATACAGTACAGAGCTTGTTAAAGTCAACATCAGAAATAAGATACAAAGCTAAAACGCATATATTGTTCTTGAAATGGTCAACCTGTTCTACTCCTAAATGTTGGCTGTTGGTGCTCTCAGCCTCTGGAGAGATATCCTGCACGTCTGGTGCAGTTGAGGGTTCTGTAAACAAACTCCTGGACATTACTGAGGTTGAGTCGGTTTCCTAGAGATGGCCAAGACATTTCACATTATGGTGGAACACATTACTCTGGATATACCATACTACACAAAATAATTTTTGTGTACAAAACAACCATACCTGTGACACATCTGCTCGTGGTAGAATGTAGAGTCTGCTTTTGCCAACCTTTTCCTTCAGCTCCCTCACAGAATTCACTTGTAATTTTTTTAACTTTCGTCCTTTTCCAGCTCTTGCCAACTCAAAGCCAACCAGATTTAGGCTGATGTGTGGGTAACTTTGACATACAAAGTTATTCAGTTCAGACAAGCTCCAATTCAGGTTAATTTTGGAGCTTGTGGTTCCTGTCCCCTCATTCACTGGGTTGCCTGAATAATCAATGGTGACAAAGCAATATTAAACACAATAACAAAGAAG